TTTTACATCACTTTTAATGTCTTTAGAGACTTCTTTTGAATTTGATCTATGATTTTTATTTTTGACAAAGTCATGTATGCAAAAATAATGTTCACTTTTAAGTACATAATAAAATGTTTGTAAATGATTGATATGCAAATTATAAAAATATTAAACACATTGTATTATTTTTAAAATTGTTATAATATTATTGGTAATTTTAAGTGAAGTCATTACGGGTTGTTAATTTCGCATTTATTATTTAAATTATAACAATGGAATGCATTTAAATATCTTGTTTTATAAAAATTTAACAAAACAAAAATGTAATGATATACTATTCGTTAACCTGTTAGCTATCAAACATAGCCTTTATTTTCATGGTATCTCTGGTTACTCTAATGATTATCCTTTATCCGGTATGGCGAAAATTCAAGGCTAAATATATTTTACTGGAGGACTAGGTTATTTATAAAATAAATAAAATTGTAACTAAAATGTCAATGCCCAATAGCTATATTTTATTCCAAAAATTTATCAAAAAAAAATTTAACATTTAAAATACAATGAATGTATAAATAATTTAACTTTTACAATTATGTAATCTCAAGTCAACGAGGATAATTGAGCTAATGAGAGAATTGAGCTGTCGAAACTAAACAAAAAGTATAATTTTTGTATAAAATATTGTGGTTTTTTATGTTGTTATTTTTCCTTAAATTTTTTATAACTTTAAAAAAATTAACAAATTAAAATAATATATTTTTATATGAGTGCCTTAAGTATTTCTCTTTTATTTTGTATATTTTTTTATGAAAATCTAACATTTAACCTGCCCACAGGAGTGTACAAAATATTTACTTTTGCATAAACAATTTTAACTAAACTTTTGAAAATATTCTAGTAATAATTTGATCTTCAAACATATGTCAAACTGAAGATTATTTACATCATATAAGTTTTAAACAGAAATTTGTCCCAACACCTTCTAGATGTAAATTCAAGAAAAATTTGTTTTGATGTAAAAAATAACAGTTTTTCTTGTTGTAATTTTTGATTTCAATTTTTATATATAGAATTAGAGTAAATAGATACTTACTCTAATTATGAGGGGTTGAATGGGTATTTAACCTATTTTCTTTTACAAAAAATTTAAATGTTACATTTAAATGCTAAGTTTTTAATGATAATCCAATAAATTAAGAGGAAAATTACAATTTCAATTTTGTGACTAAAATTATTATTGACTATTGAAGGTCAGGATAAGAAATTTAACTTTCTCCTTTTTTTTTTAAATCTATAGTTACATTTTTGAAACACTTTAGCCATAGTGGTAACAAATATATAACTACTTTAAAGTTTGTTATAATTTCTCCTTAAAAATCGCAATATAAAATATGGAATACCAATTTTACACCAAATTTAATTTACATATTTATTCATGTACTATATTTATATATCATAAAAATATTAATCAGGTATAATTAAAGAAATAGACGTTTATGATTCTTTTATAATAATCCAATAAATCCTTTTAAAAATGAATCACTATCTGCAAATTTGTATAAAAATGTTTTTTATATAGTGATATAAATCACGGATGATCCATATTAATTTTACTAATAAAATAATTTAATGTGTTTTAAACTAACAAATGCATTTTAAAATTATTTTTATGTTCTCACTGTTTTATAATATAATGGTAATTGTTTACACTTAAAAAGATAAATTTTTTAGTTAAATTTTAAAAAATCAATTAAATTATTATTTCGTGACATTTAGAAAAATAATGCCTTACAATAGGTATGGAATTATAACATTTTGGTGTAAATAAATGACACGATAATATCTGTATTCTCGAATTTTATGATACTTTTTCATTGCACAACTTTTCAAGAAGTTTTCGAACTTATGTTACTTTTGAATATAAAATCTACATAAAAAGTGTTTTTTATGTCGATAGTCCTATTTTTGAGTTATATCTTTTAAAATGTATAATATTATTCTATCGCATATTACTGTTCCCTTACAAAATAAATAATACATTTTATTAATAATTAATGTAACTGATAATCAAAGCTTTTCTTTATAACCAGATTTTTTAAGTAAATAATTTTCATCAAAAATCATAATAATTTTATAATTATTATATAACTTAATTATAGAATAACTTATACTATTCTTCCGGTATTTTTCATTTTTAGACTGTTTATACATCTTAAGTTTAAAATTTTATAGTATTTAATTATAAGAGTAAGTGAACAATAGATATTTAACAACTGTTAATTAAACTGCATGCTTAATTAAAGACCATTGATTATATCGAGAGTTATAGGCACAATAAAATATTGTTGTTAACCAACAAATAACAACTTTACAACAGTTTAAGCCTACGAACAATAAAAAAAAATATGTTTGAATAATCAATTACTTAAGTAAGCCTGAAAAAACCAACAATAAATTTAGGATTTTGCATAGAAACGCATAATTAACTAATTTGATTTCAAATTTAGGGAATACAGTCAAAGATCTTCTTCTTTTATAAATAACTTGCTAAGTAACCATACATTCGATAAAAAATTTGACTACCTACTTTAATTCTACATACATTTATTGAAATGTATAAACACTTAATGATAATCTTATCAGCTAAAATGGAAGAACATATGATAAATGTACTAAAAATCAAAGTAATAAATAAAAATGAAACTTTAGCTTCAATATTTAGTTTTATTCTCTGAATTAATCAACTATTTTAACTAATTACTTAAAGTTTATAATAATAAATTTACCTTAAATAATCTTAAACATTTATTTTTTATCGAGATAGCCATTTATAAATGTGATAAATTAATTTTAATAGTTGACTCTCATTTATAAATCATTGTAAGGCTGGATTACTTCTTTATTGCATTCGATTTAAAAAAAGTGGGTTTAAATTATTTTTCTTTTGTTATTACAGAATAATTGATTAGTTTTTGTAGAAATAAAATTTTCAAAGAAAGATAATTTTTTTATTGTATGACTCATCTTATAGTGTTAAAGAATTTATATAGAGAATTTTATAGAGCTTAATATTTTATTTATTGGTGAAAATTTTCATTATTTTCATTCATATTTATTTAAGGATAATTTAAAAGGGTAAAATTACGTTAAACATTAAATTTATGTTAATTTCAATCAAAGAACCAGTTGAATCTTTATTTTTATAAAATGTAAATCTTGTATAATTTATTCTCAAGTAATATTTTATAATAAAAATACATAATGAAAAATTAGAACAAATATTACAGTAACAAACTTTTAGTAACTTATGTAAATAATGCCATAAATCATAATAATGTGTATAAGTAGCTCTACTAACTCAAGTATATTGTTCCATTATTAAAAGCCATATATTTTATTTACTCAAGTATTGTTACGAATACTAGTAAAACATACTTTTAATTGGAACGAATGAGCATTAAAACGTTGTCAACCAAAAGTACCAAGTAAAATTAATCAATTATTGTTTCAGAAATATATGAATATTAGCCCTCCATGGAAAAAATATGTTTTCATACTATAGAGATTATCAGAAAAAGCTATTGTATATACCATATTGAATTTTTTTAAAGTTGCTTATACCTCACAAAGAAATAATGTTTTATCAACTCTGAATAATTAAATTTAATATTATCTATTATTACTAATAATAAACAATATTGAGGCGCACAGATTTTGGCTTCGATACAAAGCTTAAAGAAAATATATTAATTTTACTATGATATGTTTTTTCTTTTTATGTCTGTCGCTACTTTTTCTGAGCTCTTATTGGATCGATTTCTTTCAACAATACATAAAAATATCACAAATGGTATCTAGTCAAGATATTGCTCTTAAAAATTGAAAAAATTCCCTCGTACCGGCAAATGGGAGAAATCTCCAAAAAAATTACAATTTTTAAAATCGGTAAATATTGACATTGGACATTTTCTTTCCTTAAAACTGCCATGACATTTTCAAAAATGAACATTTCAAAATATATTTTTTATATAGAAACTAGGTATTCTCTTTCTTTGATATAAATTTTTTGAAAACTTGACATTTACCTGGCCACAGGAGGGTAATTAAAATAGCAATTTTTTCAACTTAACTTTTGAAAAATTTCCGGAAATAATGCGTTCTTTAATCACATGTTAAGTTAAAGTTTATGTTATGCATCATAAATTAAAAAAATTAAAATTTACCGACAACTTATCCTCTATGTACAAATAGCCGTCGAAGTTGAACAAAAAATGTAATTTTAGTGTAAAAATCACCTTTTATCGTGCTTAAAGTTGCCATAACTTTTTGTTTACTATTTGAAATACTAAGGATGGTACGAGTTCATTTATAATGAAATATATCAAAATTTATGTTATAAATTTTGTCTACAACAAAATGAATAAACTATTTATATATACAAGACTCTATTTGTGACAACTTATGGCATATAACATTTGGTGGACACATAACATGTTTAATAAACAGTTAATGTGTATTTTAGTGATCTATTATCTCCTATATACATATAAGATAGTATATAAAAGTTTCATAACCCAAATGAAAAAATAAATAAAATTTCGGTTTAATATTTAAAATCGAGTTTTGATACCGAAATCACAAAATATTTTAACATATTTTCATATATAAAAGTTAAGGTAATCGATTTTTGAGTTAAAAATGTTGATTTTATGTATCAAATTAACAAAGGTACTTTAGAATTCACTTTTAAACCATCAGACAGAAAAAAGTCAGAGATATCGAGAAGTCTCAGTTTTGCTCCTCATTCCCCTATTGGAGGTTGTGATAATTTTCATACTAGTTGACATTCAAAGTTTTGCCTTGAAATACTTTTTTGTTAACAAGTGGTTCATAACATGTGTTGTTTGTATCTGACATTTTTAGTTACTGCGCTATGTACTCGTTTAGACATTTATAGTCTAAATATTTTTTAGTTGTTCAAATTACTCTTAATTAAGTAGCTTTTTTTTCTGTAGATGGAACGACTTTCCAGTGATAATAGTTTTTCACCTCTGCGAAGTACGTCTACAAGAGATTTGGAACGATTTATCGGTGAGTACTACACTTGTTAGTGATGCATGAAAGTAATACACAATGAAACCAAGCATGGCCTGCATGATCCAACCACTAATAAATAGTACATCATTTTTAACTTACTAATTGTTTAAAGATAACATTGAGGCTATTATTCAACGTTCATCTAGATTGCAATCGTATCCTGTAATTTATAATCTGTTTTATGGTAAGCACATTTGCAGTAGATATATAACAGAAATAAATGAGTTTATTATTGATTCTATAAGGTCTATATGACCCGTATTCTGTAAATTTAAGACCTTAAAATATAAATGGTATCTCTTTTTATCCAACTACAGAAATTACAATTATAATTTTACTATTAGTTGTAACATTAATTTTTTTGGGTGAAAAGTATATTTTTAAGTACTGAAATCAACTTTAACAGCGTAAAAGTTTAATGTTTTACCACAAGTAGGCATTAATTAACTTGAGGGTTTATTCTATATAAATTTATAATGATTGGAAACATGCATTATGAAAAACTACTTAAGTCAAAATGATTTTTGAATTCTTTTAAATTAAGACTTTATATTATTTAAGAAGAAGTTCACCTACTAATTCTATATTCTATTGTACTCATTAAAATGTTTTTAAGCCAGAATTTTGTTTGTAAATAATTGAGTATTAATGAATGGTCGGGTTTAACAACTGTTTAAAGTAAACTTACTTTTTATGTTAGAATGGAGATATGAATATCAATTACTAATCCATTAATTTAATATTTCTTAGACTTTCAAAAATGTAAACCTTTTTAAAGATTGAATGATAAAAATATTTTCATTATGCTAATTTGATATCTATAGATTAAAAAAATTCACTGATAAAATTTAATAAATAATAAAATATTTAGATAGGGAATTTTTACTAGATTCCTACATTTAATAGAAGAAACACTTAGAAACAAATTCATTTGTCGAAATTATGCCATCATAATAAGGTCATTTTATCAGCTGACAAGCAAATGTCGTCCATCAAACATGCAGATTCACAGTTCATACAATAATGGCGAAATTTCTCTGTCAAAATACTCGTTCATATTTTATAACATAAAAGAGGTAAGACGGGCGCCGATCCCCTGGAGGTTAGGTCCGCCTTTTGATTTATGCACAACTTTTAGAACAAAAAAGTAGCCACCACCTGCAGTGTAACAGCACTACAATCTTCCTGCTGCGGTTGATGTCGAATTTAAAGTGTTTAGAATATTTTTCTTTACCGTTTACAATGAAGTAATAAAATATGTAAACTTTAATAAGTACATGACGCAATGCATTACATTTGAAATTGATATAGCTATCGTTACAAATTTTATATAAAAAAAAAAATATTCATTCAAATTTTATGTGGCTGTTTAGTAAAAAAAAAAAAACTTATATTTCAAGCGCTAAAATATAGTAGTATATTGAACTTTAATGGCTTTAGCTTTATTGGCGTTTTTCTATTTTAACAAATGTGTAATACTCAAGACCAATCTAATGTCTATCATGTTTTTCCTTATACTATTGTTTTTTATTCAAAACTGATGAGTGTACAAAAATAAAAAGTAGTATACAGCGAATACTTGTAAAATAAAGTACAGACATTGATATTTGAAAAAACATGATTTTATGTGTATTCTGAAGTACAAGTTCCGTTAGTTATCGCTGATTAAGATTTGGCTTTCGCCGTGTTTATACTATCAAATTTTTATTTTTTTATTCAATTGTCAACAAAACATAGAAAACAACTTAATGTTTTACAAACATCTCATGTTTGTGTTGCTATAGTTTTGTTTAAAAGTCATCAAACGCTTTGGATCGATTTTCGAGCTAAAGGATGTTTATTTTTATACAGTCTGTATAGTTAGTAATATTTTCTCAATATATTCGTTGTATTGTAAATGAATTCAACTTGCAAATTTCATTATGTCTCGTTGGCAGTATGATAAATATTTACAACTTTAATCCTTTTAAATCACGAGAAGATCCAAAACTTAAAAATTAATAATTCATTTTACGCACAAGCATTTAAGTTGTCCCTATGATTTTTTATTCTAGTAATAGTTTTTTTATAGTATAATATTCAATAGAGTACCAAAACTTAAAAAACATAAGTTCACCAAGTTAAATATGTGTAAAATATTTGATTTTACTGGATAAGTTTATTTTAAAATGCTGGTATAATAGAGTTAATGTTTGAATAAATGAACAATTTTATTGGGAGGTTGGATCAGTTATCATTGGTGGGTTTTTTCTCTAAATTGTTGGTTTTACAGAGATTTGTGGAGATGGTAACGATTGCTTAAAAAAGTTGGAAAAGATCAAACGTGGTACACTTGATCGCTTAGACGGTGGTCATCTAGTGAATTCTAGATCATGGACACAGCAATCGGCACAGGGCAGTAAAAGTAAAAGAGTGAAAGATCTTGAAAAAAAGTCAAGTCAAATTAACATTGGCATGCGAGGAACATTGGATCGATTAGGTGGCACTGTGTTTGTCAAACAGCCAATTCGATTGGGTGGCACCAGATATGTTAAATACGCAGTACAAAACAATAATAAATACAATATACCGTTTAAATATCAATGGAACGATCTCGTTGAATCCGATACAGCTATCAGTGGTTTTGGCGAAGATTACTATGGAGAACTAGCTGGGAGCAGAAATAATATTGATAATTGTTGGGACTGCTCGCCAAAAGAAACTTTAAATTCCTACAGTTCTATATTGATGTAGTTGTTTAATAATTTAATAATAGTGTCGTACAAAATCGAGTTTTGAAATGTACCGTTGTAGTAAATTAAAGATATAATTAAAATATTTTGTTAGCAGTGTTAGTATACTATAGTAGCATAACGTCCACGTATTGGAGAACTATTTGTTATTCTAGACATTATCCATGTTTCGTGTAAACAAAAACCCAGTAGAGTATGTCATAAATATATAAATTGACATTGTATTCTTCGTTCATTGATAAATAAATACAAAAATATTTAGACTTAGATATATATTAATATACTACTTTAAAAGTTTAAAAAAAGTAACTGTACAAAATTTAAATTAAAAAGAAATATCAGATTGTTATTGATTATTTTGTATAATATTTTCGACGAGAAAAAAATCAATTTCATTTTTTGTCACTAACTATAGAAATAAAATTCGTTCAAAATGGTATACGTGTTTATAATTATATCTGTTGTTTAATTAATGATATTTTTCACAAGAGTTCAACGTATGGTAATATGTTAATTTACAATTGTGTTATTAAGTGACTTTAGAACTACTAATATTTTGGATACTTTAAATGAATAAAAAATAAAATCGGTTATTTTTTATTACAATCAGATTTATTTTTAGTAATTTTTATCTTGTGTTCATTAATTTACTTGTAATAAAAGCGTATTTTTTATTATGCGACTTAAAACAAGTGTCAACATTGAAATAAATTATTATTTTGTAAACAGATGGATTTTGATAGGGGTAATAAAAATATGTTTGCATAAAATGTTGTTTGATTGTAATTTATTTCAATTCAAGGATTTATATGAATTTTAGGTTATTTTTTCGAGTTTATCGTATAAAATATTTAAAAAAAAGATGTGAATTTTAATAGTAGGTTTAATAACAAAATAAAATTATTTCTCTGTAAAAAAACTTTTACAGTGAAATAGTTTGCTATATCTATATATTATATAATTTATCTTTTTACGCAGTTCCTACTCAAAACTATTGTGAATTATTAAAAAGGGTTGGTATTTGAAAAATCTAATAAATGTGGCAGTCATTACTTTTTTATGATTTGTCCATCAACATTATATAGCTAAAAAAGTAACCAATCATTATAAATTATTTGAGTTGAGATTAAATCATGATAATTTGACTGTATACATTGAATTAGTTATCTTTGCATGATTACTATTAATACGTTAATTAACAGCATGAGACATTGTACATAAATCAATTCACAAATGGGAAAGCATGTAATAATCCCTAAAAAAAGCATTGTTAAATGTATGATGAGCCACGTTTTCAATTAATTGGTAAAGGTTTGTATATATATATATATATATATGTATATTTAATATTTAATTTAGTCGTTAACAAGAAAAACAGTGGTTAATTTCAGTCGATTGACTCTTAAATAACGAATAAGTAATCTATACAAATAAAAATTCTCGTTAATTTTTTTTGAGTTAAAACTTAGAAGTTTAAACCATTGTTAAAGGTTTATGTACGGCATGCATTATATTTTTTTGATGATATATTACCAGTGGATTTATAAATTAGTAAAATATTTGTTTCACTTTATTTTTTTTTAAATTTAATTTCAATTGTGAATTCGATGATTTTGTCTATTGTTTAATAGACAATCAAGTATGAACTGTTTATAGTTTTAACTTGAAGAACACTGAAATAAATAAATAATAATTATTATAAAAGAATAATAATAATATTTTTCAAGATGCTTATAATATTATTTTGACGATTTAATATTTATTAACTTTTAATACTAATTTATGAAATTATGATTGGTATATATTAAATATAATTTGAATATGAACTTGTATTTTTTTTTATTAAAAATTAATTTACAAAAAACAATAGTAAAAGTTTTAGTGTTGCAATAAGTTATACCTTTAATACTCATATATCAGTTGAAATTTGCAAATAATATCGTTTCTATTTTCTATGCAACGAGATTATCAGTAGATTTTAATTATATAAACCAAGTACACATATCGTCATTATACACTTTTAATTCAATTTTTTACCGCATTTATTTTATATAGTATTATTTTTTTCGCTGGCTCAGCTAATTTGTTCGCACATTGAATTTAACAACAAGAGTCACTCGACTTAGAAATTAAATTTGTTTGTTTTTTCTTGTGGACTTTTTAAAAAAATGTGTGTGTATACATGAGATCGAAAGACCATTTTCGGAAAAAATTGTATTCCTGTATTAAAATTAAAATCCATTATATTTTTCATTTTACAGAGGGAGAAAATCTATTGAGAGATTTGGAAATTCTAAGGGATCGCGCAGAGTATTTTGCAAGGCAAAGTCGTCAGATAAACTCATTGAATGGAGTGGGTTTTGGCCAAAGCAAGCGGTTTGATACGCTCAGGTAATTGAATTCGAACGTTATTATACTTTGATACAATTATATTACGTACAATATTAAACATTTGTTCCTGAGTGGTTTTTAGATCATATTGTAATACATGATATTGCCGTTTATCTTTTCATACATAATTTTACCTAATTCGTGCTATGATATTTAATATTAATGTGAATTCTATAAAGTTCTTTCGGGTTAATACTATAAAAAGACTTTTTAAAATATTTTTTTAAATTTTAAGTAGACATATGATGAATAAAGAAAAAAAGACTTTTTGACTTTAGGGGTCCTTGTTGCGACTTTTATTTTTGTTACAGTGTATTTTATACTATGTAAAACATCACTTCCATCATTCATTCAAAAACTATTGGTAACTTTATTTAACAAAAATGTGTAAAGCATCATTGGATAACAAGTATTACCTTTTAGCAATACGTCGTTCTCGAAGGACATACTTTTTATGCTTGTAATATTAACCTTTTTTTTTAGGTAACTAAATATACATATTGCATAAATACGTGTCTCTCATTTCATTGATTTTGATCATCCCCTCACTAATCTAATAGAAATTTAATCATTTTAATATTAGTTTTAATAGCTCCTACATAATGAAAAATTGTTAATATTGCCTTTACAAACAAACTTAATACAATCATAAAAAATGCATTTAAAATAATTAAAATTGTATTTAATAACAATTAAGTTTTTTTCTTACGAACAAATAAATAATTTATTCGGATTTCGAAACAACATATTCAAATCGAAAAAAATGATTGCTGTAATTATCAATACTTTCTTGATTAACTCCGATGATTTGACAGTTTTTGATTGTAGAGCTTTATTTTCGATTGCTTAACAATAAAAGTAATTTGTACAATTCGGAGCTAATAATTTTCTTACCAGTCGTTATGAACATTAAGAATTTAAAACCATACTTTATTTATTAAGAAAACGACCTTTACTCCCTCAAACATTTATTCAAGATCAATTTAGTGTGAAACGCTTATTTTCTTGGAACACATTAAACATTATCGTTGTTTGCTTGGAGAAAACTTTTTTCGATCCCCGTAAAAAAAAAAAAAAAAAATGAAAAAGTCGCTTTCATACAAATAAATGTGTTGGCTTTTATAATATATTTTATGTAAAATCTTTAGTTAAATATTATGTGATTATGTAGTTAAAACTATCTCCAAAGAACAATTCTTCGATTTTTTCCCAAGAACATATTTGCCAGATGAACACAATATTTTAACGACATAAAACAAAAGTCTTTTTGTTTTATTATATTAAAAGGCTAATGCCATTAATAGTATTAAATAATTTAATTTCTTGTTTAATGTCCTTCACGAATTATCACAAGACCTAAAACCTTTGAATAAACTACCGAATAACATTTTTATGGTCATTATTTATGCATGAAAACAAAATGCATTCCCTGAAACATCGCCAGGTTCTAAGAAAGTGCTCCGGTCTTTCTCCCTTTTACTGAGACTGTTAATTTTCATATTAAATATCTTATAATTTTTAAGTAGTTAATTATAAGGTATACATATATTTTATCGATTTATAGTCGAATTGTTGTATAAATTTATAAATATTTTGTATGAAAAATACACATCAGTATAATATACCTCAGATAACGCCAACGGAGACTTTGAATTATTTATTACTTGAGTTCATAATTAATATCGTTTCGTTACTTTTTACTTTACGTCAAAAAGTTTTGAATTTTATGTGATTGTCTGAAATTTATTTATTTTTACTAACATTTTTTGTTTTAGTTGGTTTAGCTCAAGACTCATCATTTGTAAATTTTTTATAATTTAATAAAGTTCAAATACAAAGTGATAAAAGTTCAGTCACGCAAAATTGCACAGAATAAATTATTGTTTTTTCGTTAAATGACAAGGTCAAGGTCACATGCTAGATACCAGAAAGTTCTTTAGGTTGAAATTTAATCCTTAATATCAATACCAAATAATATTCAATCGTTCAAATGATAAACATTTTTTGAATAACTGTATGACACAATAAAATAATCTTATTTAATTGATGTTTGTCTTTAATTAGCGGAGTGTCTTTTGGCGGTCAAAAGAGGAACATGGACGAAATCGACCGAACTGCATTCAACGCTTTCATAAAGAAGAAAAATTTCGACGAAATCGACCGCAGTGGAGGCATCGATCGATTTGTCAAGAAAAATTTCGACGAAATCGATAGAAGCGCGTTCAGTAGTTTCGTGAAACGTCCAAACGAAGTGCCGGCCGCTAATTTGGAGTAGTTACCACACGCACAGCCATTCATAAACGTCACCCCTGGACCTCCAAAATAAATCATATTTTCATTTTATATGTAATCTGTAAAGAACAAATTATTCTATTGAATGAACAGCATAAATCAATTTTTCACCGTTACATGTACCCATATGTCGAACGCCTGTTTAGCACTACAGTTTTTGTTGTCCTTTACAAATTCTTATTTCGTTTTTGGCAAAACTCAAAAAAATATTATTAGTTCGAAAATTATAAAATAGAAATCGATAGTGTATTTATTAGACATATTACATTATTATCGCTCATTAATGACATAAATTTATATATTGTTTATTGTAATAATAACTATGTTTATTTTTATTATTTACCACATGATCTGTTTGTGAATCTCTCTGTTGTGTCTTAAATTTATTTTACGTGAAAATTTACATATTTTCAAATTTTAAATAGTGCGTTACATAATAAATTATAAAGAATATTGTACTATTTGAATCTCAAGAAATTTATTAAATATTATTAGTTTGTAATCAGTATAAATGTGTTTTTTATTCTTTACTCTGAAATTATTACTTTTACTTACTTGACATTTAGTTGTATCATAATAAAACGTGTACAATCAATTTCTATGCAATATTAAAAATGGTAACAGTCGTGTCGCACATTGAACATAAATTCCACTTACTTCTTTGTTTTTGTTATATTTAAATATAAAAACAATACCACTTAATTTACTATTATTATTAAAATATATATTTAATGAATATACTTCTAAGTTTAATATAATTATTAAAAATATTAAGTTGATTATTTAATAATATTTTATGGGATTAATGAGATATTTGATTTAATTATTATATTGTGAAAAAAATTGCATAGAAAATTCTTCATTATGTTGATATTTGTTTGTCATTATATTACTGAGTGAATTAAAATTTCATTAAAAGTATTGTCAAGTATAGCAAAACGTATAAGAAAGTTGAACTATTCAAACGTTCTGACAAACCGCTAGGAATTCTTAATAATAGTAAATCGATTGTATAGTAATTGCTCGCTATTACCAAACCGTATATTCTTATATAAATCATTATTATATTGAATACNGTAATTGCTCGCTATTACCAAACCGTATATTCTTATATAAATCATTATTATATTCAATACCGCATCATTTGTGAATTGAGCCTATGTCTATGGTAAAATTAACATGTTGAAAAATATTTTATAATAAAAAAGCTATAAACTCGTAAAGTAGTCATAATTATTGTTTTCTACTCCATCTTATTTTCGCTTTGTTATTAATACTTTATTGTTACATAGTGTAGTTAATTGTAAATTAAGTAGACATTTTTTTGGTTTATAAACATTTTTCTGCTAAACAGTAATGTATGAATTTAAAATTAATGTTTAGAGATTTAAAATTTTAAGTGAAAATAAAGTAATCCTTGAAAAATGTCGAGTCATATTGTATTTTATTCTACAGCGAGTGAAATATTATAATTTAAGTAAAAGTACCTGAATAACATTAATAACATTTCGATTATATTATATTAATATCGCACATTTTTTTAAATTAAATTACATTACGAAAAAATAATTATGCGAGTTGAAACATAAACAATAACTTTTTAAATAAGTTTTAAAATTAAAAACCTTGATCACACACAAAAAACATTTTTAATTTAAAACTTCATCTTAAGTGCCCGGATAAAAATCTATTACCTGGTCGCTAATAATATTACAATTAATACTATGGTAACGTAATAGTTAAAAAAATATAGTATTTTAAAATAATGTCTAATAAAAAAAAAATGTTTTCAATACTTTAAAACTATTGTTATGTTTTTAATTAAAAATTAGTAATGATTAAGTTTTTGCTATCATTTTATTATTTTTAGTATTAATAAATATAAAATATTATTAGAAAAAAAATAATAAATTAAATTATTGTTCATAGTTCTCTTCATCATCATCATCATCGTTATCACTACACACGTACAGGAATGGACTCCTCTCCAGTAAGTCAATGTCTTTTTCCAAATCTTTCAATTGTTTTTCAAGTATAGTTTTCTTTTTCATTTTTGGTAGTGTATCGGTTATCATGGGTAATAACTGAAATTCTTCTTGCAGTTGTGACCAATTCGTTTTTAGACCCTTAATTAAAAATATTAAGATAATTAATTTATTTATCGTGGGCTATGGAATAAATAAATATTATACATATTATGAAAAATCAAAAAGAAACAAAATGAGAGACAGTTCTTTTACACGTAATAAACAGTAAACATTATGTACCTAAATGAATATATTTTAAATAAATAATAAATCATAAAAATAGTATTATTGATTTTTATATTGTAGTGATATAATTTAAGTGTCTAAATATTTAATCATTTTATTATTATACAAGAGAACATTTTTGGGAATATTAAGTTTTCGACGATAAAATAATAATAAATCCAATCGTTTACAATTATACCAATTCATTCTATTTATTTATATTATGCCTATATTTTTCTTATAAAGAAATAAAAAAGAAATAAAACTTATGATATAAATTTCAATTTTTCAAATTGCATTGTATATTTTAAATGACAGATACCTGTCAAAATAAGAAGAAGTAAAGAAAAATAACTAACCGTTATTTAAAAAATTATGATATAAAAAGAGAGCCCCAATATTAAATCATTAATAGTCATGCATGTTGCTCTGAGATCAATTGATAAAAATTAATTTATCATAGAGTTAAAAGATGTAAATTTGTATTTAAAAGTTCCAATATTTGCTGAAATTATCACTAAAATAAATATGAAATTTTGAACAAATATAAAGTAAACTAGCGTAAGAGTCCATTATTAAAATATATAATTTTTTCACCTTTTTATTTTTTCTCTTCTTTATCCCAACTACTCGGGGTCGGCCGCTTAAACTTCCACTTGACACATTCTCCTACACCATCTACACACACATCAGCCGTCTTCATATTATCACATTCAATAACATCTCTTTATCGATTTTTTGATCTTCCTCTACCTCTTCTTCATTCAACATTCATTTCCATAACTGTTCTTACAATTTCCGATTTCTATCTTCATATAAAATTCTCTTATCGCATAACACACCAGATGCTTGTCTCCACTTCTCCCACCCACACTTAATCCTGTGTCTTACATTCTCGTCAATACCACAGCTAATTTGCACAATTGATCCTAAATATTTATAATTTTCCATGTTTCCTATCACATCTTTACTTATTGTCACTGATCTTCTCATTTCACCTACCTCGTGTTTCCCATTGTCAAATTCATACTCTATATTATATTATTTTATCTTGGTATAAGTGCCATCAAACATACATTCAATTATATTAATGTACCTTTTTGGGACTCTTTTCTGTATGTCTCCTTAGCCTTTAAATATCGTTAACAATACTATTTCTATCTAAATATATAATTAAATTTTTTTATTTTAAACTAATGGTTTATTTATATCAAATAATTTTTAGTGGAATTTATCAACATGTAAAATTAGTCACTTCCAAATTTATCTATTTATCACATACAGGATGTTTGTCTAACTATGCCTCACGAATTTTCTTTAAAAATATTATCGTTATCATATATGTAATTATTTTATTTGTTATAAATTTTTGTTGAGCTACTTGGCAAGAAACATATAGATTCCATTTTTAACCCTTAATTTATAAATCATTATCAACTTTATTTATTCAAATAGCAACCCAGTTCTTTTTTTTTATTAATCTTGTTTAGCATAAAAAAAATTTCTCAAAAAAAAATCTATTTTAATAAATTCTTAACGAGATATCACTATTTAAAATTCAGGGGATTTAACAAATAAAACTGTAGTCGGGTAAATACAGTAACATTAATATTTAGTGTACCAATAAGAAATTTGCGCGTGTTTATAAATCAACGTAAATAATACTCACGTCTCCTAAACTTTAATGAATCATAGCTCGTTGATAATTGAATAAAATAAAACAATTTTTTTTAATTAAATCTGATCTGGTTATATAAAAAAAATAGGGTTACCATATGAAAACTGAAAGTTGTTACTGATTTAAAGCATAAGGGATAATCATAAAAATGTAATGTTTTTCATTGAGCAGCCAAAGAGAGAAACATAATATTTCATAAAAATAAAGATAACTTATATTTTCAGAGATAATTTGTGAGGCATAGTTGCTCAATCACTCTGTATATGTACTTATATCAACGTTCTCACATCATCATTATACATCTTTGAATACTGTGGCAGGTATTTAGTATCAACCCTTAACTAGCCACGTAACAATTGATGGAGACGCCGATCTCTCTGCTATATTATAACATTCAGTGATGGATCCCCTGTTAGTGTATTACAACTTTTATATACAGTTCTATTACCCTAAACGTTTTTTTTTTATTTTAGTTAAGTAATATTTTATTGGATATATGTTCAAATATTTTTGCGTAACAATTGCAATACTCATATTATTTGGTAAGTTAGCATAATATATGTCTCTCTATAATTTTTATTTAAAGTGTCATTATAATAACTAAACAATTAGGATTACACAATACACGTGTCATTTGATAGGTTTTCATAGCGATATTCTTGAACTTACGTCAGAACAAATTATTTCATATTCTAAAGGAAATTAACATATTTTTATTTATAAAGCTTTTAAAACTTGTATGAATATAAAATATCTAATAGAGTCAATTTTAATTAAAATTTCAAAAGGATATAAAGGGCACTTTATTTTTACTATTGTACTAAAGGGGAATTATTAAATATTTTAACGTTTTTAAATGAAATACAGCTGGTCAATAGCTATTGTAAGGATCTAATAAACACTTTACGTAATTTATTTGACCAATCACCCTTATCTGATAAATAACAATTAAAGTTTCACTCCAAAACTATGATTAAAAATAATTTTTTGTTAATCTTTGACAGCCATTTACACATAGAAAAAAAGGTAATAGGATAAACTTTTTTAATAAAACTTATAAAACTCGTAGTATTTCCGGAAAATGTTCAAAATTTAACTTTTCATACAAAAGTTGTTATCTCTCTGGGTGTAGATATAGTGTCATATACATACTTTAGAAAGTAAATACCTATAAGATATTTAGAAAAAAAAATTCTTCTATTTTTAAAAATTTTACGATAGTTTTAAGTTTAAAAAATTGTCAAAATCGTAATTTTTTTTAACGTTTTGCCTATTTACGTGGTACAAGGGAATTTTTTCAATTTTTAAGGGTATTGTTTTTAACTAGATGTAATTTGTGATCTTTTGACGTATTGTTGATAAAAATCGGTCAGGTGAAATTAGTGAAAAAGTGGCAACTGAAAAAAACACATTATAGTAAAATTAATACTTTCCAGTTAAAAAAAATATATTTATTTGCTTAATATACAATTAAAATAAAAATTATAATATAACATTTTTTCAATAAATTATAAAAAAAATTTAGGAACAGGATATTCTTAAATAAAAGTACAGATTTAATAAAGTTTGCGAAAAAATGTTGTTTGCAAACTGAAAGATTCAAGTTAAAGGGAAGTAAAACAATAAATGTTTTGGTGATTTGCCATTTGATGACAGATCAAAAAATTAAAGACGAGAAAAGCTCTGATATAAAACCTCAATGTTACAATTTCCAAAATTGATTAACAACAGATTTGATAAATCCACGAACTATTTTCGGTTTGCTTCTCTTAAATGACAGTATTCAAATAAAACAATCCATTAAAACTTTATTATTTATAAAAATAAGAAAAATTAATCTTTGACGCGCACTAATAAATAATTCTAAACCTTGTTTTGGATTTAAAATTTTGGAAATTAATGTCTATTTGTCCACGAAGTTATTTAATTTGGTAATAATAAAATAATTAAATTTAATTAAAACTAATTAAAATATAAATAGTAAATCAATACAGTGGATAGAAAATACTTATTATGTATTACATAGTCAATTAATTATTTTTGTGGTAATTTGTTTTTATGAGTTGATATTACTGAAAAAATAATCCGTATTAAATGTTGTTAAGCAACTCCATTGAAAAATTATGTGTTTATATTATAATACTAAAACGACAAATATTTAAATCATTAATTTTTAGAACATTAAAAGATTTGTTAAGTCGCATATATTATTTTGTGGTTATGTTCTATAACATATGATTTTTTTAACTGTTATACTTAATAATTTTGTTATTTTCTAATACGTATTTTCGAAAATTAAAGTAATTTTATTTAAAATGTATTAAGTAATTGAATATCAGATAATTATGATTCTGTATAAAAATATTTTAAAGAATTCATAAAATGCAATTTTAACGCGATATCTTCATAACGAAAGAAGTTTCACTTCATACACGCACTGGTTTTTTAAATGGTAACATGCATATTTAATTAGTTTATAAAATAGAAAATAATCCAATTAAAAAAGTTACTGGTCGACAACAACTCTTGGATCATTTTATCAAAAGTTATTAACAATTTAATGTAATGATTGGAATTAATTTGATACCCTTATAAGTTATATGGGATGATTCAAAAAAGTAATTATTAGCTGATAAATCAAAAAATATAATAACAAGAAGAAATAAACATTTTTTTTAAATATTGTATTTATTTCGCAATTAATCGAGTAGATTATGATAAACTGATCACTCTGAATATTATAAAATACAAGTCTAATATTATCAGGCTGGCTAATTTTACTTATATTGCACTTATGTATTGTACTAGTAATTTTATATTAAATATAAATCTAAAAATTTTATTACCAAAAATTGAATTAAATTTTTTGCATATGATAACTATAAAGTTGTATAAGTCATAAGTGCACTTACCTTTAACAAATCACTTCGTTCTTGTTCAGGTAAGCATCTCAAAATAGGTTCTACAGTTTTTTTTTGTTCATCCTGTATTATTCTAGTTTTTCCTTTCTCTTTGTTCAATTTAAAAATATAGTCAGGTGTTTTACCAAAACTCTTCAAAAATATTATAAAGCACATAAGGTAAAGCTTTTGTAAAACATGATCGGTTAATTAAGTAATTAAATAAGAGAAAATCTTAAGTTAAAAAATGTTAACACTATTTTTGTAGTATTCATAAGTTAACTAATTATATTTTTATTTCCTTTCTAACCTTTTTTAACACATACATAGGTTCTAATCCAGCCTTATCAAGTAAAATAACATGTCCGTTTCTTGTATCCTGAACTTTGTGTCTAATTAAAGGAGGAATTTTTTGAACAGTTTCTAGTATGTTAATCCGTTTGTAATCTTTTTTTTTTTTTTCGTTTTCATTTAAATTTGTTTTTCTAAATTTATTTACTTTTATTTCTTTTGGTTGACACAGTCTAGTAAATTCTAAAATCGATTTTTAATAACTGAAGTGTTTAAAACAGGTATCAAGTCTATTAAATTATTCTAACTACAATACTTACCAACTAAAGGCTTTATTGTTTTTCGCGTATGTTTTTTTAAAAACACAGAAGGAGGATTTAAATGGATTTGTGCATGTCCCATGGTTCGATGGCAATCTTTGTTAATCTTGAAAGTTTTTTTTATTGAATCAGTATACATTGAACGATAAATTGGTGGCTTTACAACTGGTGATTTTGGTATTGGTATTAATCGTGTAACATTTTCTTTGCAAGAATTCATCATTGATAAATGCAAATTAATTTGATTAATAATATACAAGTAAAATCGAAAAAAAAAACTCACTTATAATAAAAAAAAATCTGTTGGATCAATTTCAAATAACATTTGAAGGAATGAAACAATCACCTAGCAACACACATTGTAAAATACAACATGTGTATTTGAGATATAACGTAGCAATTTATCAGGATTTTAACGCAAGTGTTTTGTTAGTAAATAAAGACAAATTAATTTTACTTTATAATAAGTACTGGTTCAATTTAGTTTATTAATTTTTTATTTACATAATCATATTTATATTTTACACAACAAAGTAGTATACTTTGAATTAAATCTGGCGATTTAACATGTTAAACAATTTTTTTTTATTATAACTGTTGTCTTTTTACTAACTCGTAGTAAAATCCTTTTAAATTTTGTAGTTCTTGGTGAGTACCGTGTTCAACGATTTTTCCATTTTTTACAACAGCTATCTCGTCTGCCGTTATTATGGTTGACAGACGATGAGCTATTATTATACAGGTTCTACCTATTCTGGCTTGGTCTAAAGCTTCTTGGACAACCTGAAAGTTACATTCAAGTGAATTAAGTAATAACATTTATTTAAAACAAATTTCTTTACCTTTTCACTTTCTGTATCTAGTGCTGAAGTAGCTTCATCAAGTAAAAGTATTTTCGGATCTCTTACCAGAGCTCTAGCAATAGCGATTCTTTGTTTTTGACCACCTGAAATTTGTGTACCTCTTTCACCAGCAAATGTATCGTATCCCTGAAATAAATGATATGTTTGTTATGATCATATATGGGTTGATGATTAAATTATGAAAATGAGTAATGTACTTGAGGTAAGCTCATTATGAAATCATGTGCATTAGCTTTTTTAGCAGCTTCTACAATTCTAGAAAATTCTAATGAACTGTTTTCATTAAAATAAGCACCATATAAAATATTGTCTTTAATAGAACAGTCAAACAATATTGGTTCTTGGGTTACGATACCTATATTTTGTCGTAAGTGTTGTAGGTTTATATGTTTAATATCACAATCATCTACTTCCTAAAAGAGTTTAATCTTTGTATATTAATGTAAAAGTGACATAAATTTAAATTTACTCACAATTTGTCCACTTGAAGGTAAATAAAACCTTTCCAGAAGTGAAATCACAGTACTTTTACCGCAACCTGATTCACCAACTAAGGCCAGGGTCTTTCCAGGGTTCAATGAAAATTCCATTCCATTTAGTACTTTATTTGCCTTTCTAGTAGGATATGAAAAATGAACATCTTTGAAAGACACTTTACCGTAAATATCCTAAAATTATATTAATAAATGTAATATAAAATGAAATGAAATATTAAATATTTATCATACGGGTTTAAGTCCTTTAGTGGATTGACTATCAATTTCGGATGGAGACTCCATGAGGTTGAACATAATTTTAGCTGACAGCTTTGCTTTTGCATAGTCTTGCAAGAATGCCATTGTAAGGCCAACAGATTGTGCAGAAAATGACAGTGCAAAAAATACCCTATAATTATTGTTAAATCAAACAGTTAAACATTTTTTAACAAATGATTTTTTTTATACCTATAAACTGCAGAAGGAGTCATTTCTTTTTTTAGCACCAAATATGATCCGTATTTAAAAGCAATAGCGTATAGCAAGTATGTGACTGATTGTGATAGAGCAAAGAGCATAGCATACCAGTATACTTGCTTTTTTGCTTCTCTAGAATAAAAAATAAATCTTTTGTTGTAATAAGTGAATAACAGTTATATATGTATATAATATTGTTATAATAAACAAAAAAAAATACTATCGCATTAACAATATAGAAATAACAATAAAACAACACACAGAGAATCCACACCACTTCATTCAAGAATAAAAAGAAAATCAATCTTTTCAGTGTTTGCTATCGGTGTGTTTTATTTGCCATTTACGTTTAATTATTTTATTAGCCAATAAAGCGATGGCCATGTCATTACGTAAGGTTTTTTGAAATATTGTTCAAAAACAAAAAATAGTTGAAGGCGGGGGAAATTAAAGATAATGATTTGAAAAAGTGTCTTTATTAGCAACTAGGATTTCTGTAGTAGGAGCATACAATAACAAATTTGACTTTTATTATCTACATCTTTTAACTAAAAGAAACAAGGAACGCTCTGTAGAAAAAATTTACCTACCACAGAAATCTTGTTTAACTCGGTTAACCCGTTAAATCTCGCACTGTTTTACTAGTTTGTTTACTCGCACGGAGTATATTTTTTCCAAGTTTCATTTTTTATATACATATATTTTTATGAAAGTAAATTCATTAAAATAACTTTTTGACAATTTTTATTTAAAAAAAACATAATAAAAGTAAATAGAAATCTTTGTACTAAATATTAAATTAGACAAAATATTTTTTCTTCTCAATTCATAATGATTATTTTATATGTTGGATAGAGGCAGACAATGATTAACATACCGTCCTCTCATCACCCTTTGCGCTCGTGTGTGTTAACCATTAACCACCTTACAACGAACATCAATCTCACCTTACTTTTATATATACACACTTCCCGTATCTCTAATCGTCAATTGTCGAAGTTATGTGTGGCCTTACCATTTCATCAAAAAGTACTTACGCACGGTGTTAATAACATTTTTAAAACCACTGATATTTCTTACACATATGAGCCTGGTGATTCGCGTCCAATTGCTCTTAAACGATTATTAAATTTAGAACGTCTTATCTTATCAAAAACTGTAAGCTATGTGATGTCTATTGTTCATTTATACCCGAATATCTAATGCTTGGTCATATAAAACATGCTACTCAGCCAGATCAATATTTTATATCATATCATGGTGTAACAATCAAGACGACGACGTATCTAAATAAAGAGTCGTCTTTGACGCATAATGTCCGTTATCTAGTGGTTTATCTCTAACTGACATATTGTGCATTGGTCCAAAGCTTCAACGGTAAATAAGTGATTTACTTCTCAAAGGCTGTTTGAAAAAGTTGTATTTACGGCCGACATCATGAAATGTATATGTAGATTTCAGTGCATTCTTCCAATTGCGCACATCAACGCATAATGGCGCGATTCATTCAATAACGAAGTATTTAAATTTCACTTATGAAATAAGCTCCACATCTTTTCTTGTAATTCCACGTCTTCACGAGTTCGATTGACTTGAATGACTACATTTTCTCGTCGTCAAAATGATTTTGTCTAATAATACCTATGTTGATGATATAGCTGGAGCTAATATTACAGAAGAACTTCTTATTACTCAAAAACCGATTTATGGATTCTTTTTATAAATTAACTTCCATGATAAATTTCTATTTCATTGATCCTACATATCAACGTTCGTAAGTATAAATAAATACAACTTGTTGGCATTTTAAAGACGTCAAGAAAGGGTTACGTTGGTTCTGTTTATTTATGAGTTGTTTATCATACCGATGGTATATCTTTATATTTTGTTGTAAATTGCAAAACAAAAGTAGCGTATTATTAGAACAGTTAAAGTAATATATCTATGACTTGATTAAAATTATGCGACGCTCTCTTGGCTGCTCATATATTGCATCGAGTATACTTTTGGCGATTTCTTGAACTTGTTTTTTTTTAGTTACAATATTTACTGATGCAACTCGTTTGGTAGTTTACAGGACCATTTAATTTGATCCTTTTAAACGAAGTTTGTTTTTCAATAGATGATCTTTCTATATTGTTATCATCTAACATACCACTCTAACTTATTTATCACTGAACTTATCAAGAAGAAGATTTCAATTTCATTGATATTAAAATTAAAAAAAAAAAAACGAGTAAAATACCGAAACCACATTACTAGCACGGAATAATATATTTTTAACACTGAACTTTATGATATTCAATTAAGTAAATGAGTAATCAAGATAACAAAAAGCGAGCACAATGGAGTCGCATTACACTGGGGACGTGGCATAGTTGAAACAAGTAAATATGATACCTGACAATAATTAAATTCATTTTTATCTAATTATTCATTATTCATTTAATCTAATTATCATTAGATTCGCTTTGACACTTATCTGTAGATAGTATTTAATTTTAAAAATTCGGTGGAATAATCTAAAAGTTGACCCATACATTTTTTAAAAAATTATAGGAATATAAAGTCAAAAAAAAAATCAAAAATTTCAATGCAAAAATAGTGTAAATTAAAACTCGGGAGCCATTTGCATATACTAGATAAGGTTTCGGGAAAAACTTTTTATAAAATAAGGTTGAAGTTTAACAATTTTAAAAATTAAATTTTTCTGGGGATTTCCCCCATTTACACGGAATAAGGGAATTTTTTTCAATTTTCAAGTGTAATGCCCTCAACTGGATACGACTAGTATTGTTTAAAGAAAACAGTCAGGTAAAACCTGAGACAGAATAGAGAAAGTGACGACAGAATAAAAAACATATCATTGTAACATGATCTTTCTTAGCCTCGCATCGAAGCTAAAAATATATAACTTATTATTTAAGCCTATAAAAATATACAAACATGTACTTTATTATAAAATAGATAAAATTATAGTTAAATAAAAAATAAGGTCATTTTTTACCCATGCGAGTATCGACACGTTAATTACCATCACCCACCCGATAACGGTTGATAACAAGATGCTACATAAATACATCTTGGTTTATAATTAATAATACAGAGTCTTAAAAAAAATATCGAATTTTCACATACATGCATTGAAAGTTTTTAACGCATACAATATAACAAAAAATTTTGATAAATAGTGACAAAACTTTTATATTTATGTACAAATTTTTTACACTTTATTTCGAAATTATGCTACCTTTTTGTAAAAATAACGTACATATTAAAAATATCAAACGTATGAGAATTTCTGGATTCTTCTTTTTGTGTATTAAAAATATTGTTTGAAAATTAATTTATATGAATATTTGTTAACATCTTCTTACTTATATAATTACTGTATACAACTTTAAAAAATAATAAGAAAAGAAATGTTATCAGGAAAATTATTCTTTGCACCGATAAAAATAATGGTAAAATCTTACCTTTGTTTTTGAGTTACCATAATAAGATAGGACTTGAACTACTAACCTTTATGGTAACGTCAAAATTAAAATGTCTAAATATTAAATAATTATTGATTAATATTCATACTTGTAAGGAACTTGGAGACTTTCAAGATACAGTTTAGAAAATGTTTTTTCTTTTCCTAGTGATTGCACTGTACGCACATTTTGCACACACTCCGAAGCTATCTAAATACAAAAAGTATTAATCGATCAACTGCCTGGGTTCATTATTTTACTGATGAGTGAGGTTAATTACTCTGCCAGCTTCGTCCATGAATTTTGCATCTCTACGTTGATGTTTTCTTTGGATCATTTGCTGCTGATATGATGCTCCAATGAGAACCGGAACAGAAAGCATTAATACTATAGCTAATTTCCATCCGAAAATCATAGCAATACCTATAGCTGCCAATAAAGTCACAGAAGCCGCTATGACTTGAGCGATCCTCATCCCTCCAGCCTGCAACAGATCATTAAATCTAACTATAATATATATTACCATTATTATTTTTTAAAGTTTTATTTACAGCCTTCACAACTGGAGCGTCCCTAGCCAACTTAGTTATAAGGTTACCAGGGGAGGAATCTTTGTTGTCAAACCATCCAACGGATTGTCTTAATATATTTAAAAAAGCAATTGATCGCATACGCATCATGAGTTTTTCTGAAGCAAATGTAAAACACCAAACCTGTATTTATAATTTTAATTATCAAATTATTATACATAAAATAATTTCACTATGATGTATATACTTGACAAAATATAGTTATTCCAGATAGTACTCCTATCAAAACAAACATTAATGACCAAAAAATTGATTCCCTTTCCAAATCTTCACCTGTTAGTGCCAAAGACTGTAAAATTTTATTTTTTTTTATAAAATCTATTTAAATAGTATTGAACCATTAAAATTGTAAAGTATCGTCATACTTACTTCAAATACCTCACCATAAAAGTACGCATAAACTGGTGTTAAAACTCCATTTAATATACATCCTACAGTTCCAAATAGCAAAAAGACCCATTCTGGAGAATTATACTTTAGTAGTTGGTACATTACAGATTTTGACTTTTTCTGATAAAATAAAACATTTTTACACTATAAAATTTTATTTTTATACAATACGGGTACCTAAATAAATATTATAATAATTTAATCTAAAAGAAATATTTAAGAGAGATTAGTTTATCAATTAATTATTAAGAATACGAATATTATTGTATATAATATAGATGGCAATAAAGCACTAACAGCATATAGAATTAAATAGCAAAAATAAAGACACAAAAATATACTTATCATATCTAAATATTAAAAAATGTAATATACAGACTGAAACAGATCTAACTGAAAATTCATATAACTTATAAACTAAATAAATTTTATTTTTTTTTAATCAATTTTTACACTTAAGGTATATATTTTAAATGTATTTTATTTTATTTTTCGCATTTACAAATAATAATTAAAAAATAATCTTTTTAATTAATTTTTTTTAAGACTTAAAGATAGTCATTTTATTTAAAAAAAATAATTATAAATCATATTTGCGAAAAATAACATAAAATATATTTTATATCGTTATCAACTCATTATCTATTAATATATATCTATAATCATTTTCTAGTGAAGGAAATGTCTAGTCGTCAAAGTCGCTTAGGTTAGACTTGTTTTATGAGCTCGGCGATTTTCGTTTGTTAAAAAAAATGGATCAAAAGATTTGTATCAATTTTTGCGTAAAAAATGAGATTAAGTGTGTGAAATTTTAAAAGAATGTCAATGGTGAGCATGTCATGAGTAAAACAAATGTTTACGAGTGATCTAAGCATTTCCAAGATGACCGTGAAAACGTTGGAAATGACGAACGCCCCAGCACATCAACAATCGATGAAAGGTCGAAAAAGTGAAAGAAATGATTATGAACGTTTGCCGAATCACAATCAGAGAGGTCGCTGATGATATTGGAAATTGATTGGCTCATACCATGAAAATTTTTTCGAATGTCTTGGATATGAAAAGCGTCGCAAAAAAATTTGTTGAATTTTAAACAAAAACAGCAGCGACTAGAAATTACTCAGGAGTCACATAATGAAGTCAATAATATGGAGAATTACTGAAACGTGTTGTAACAGGCAAAGAAACATGGGTTTGTGGATACGACGTCGAAACTAAAGCTCAATCGTCCCAGTAGAGGCATTCTGGATTATCAAGACTTATTTGATTTTTATCTCATTTATATTCAATAACGTGAATAATGATCAAGGATCTTATCACTATAGTCTCCTCATGTAAGAAGTAATTTCTTATTCATATTAAATTTATTTTTTTATGTGGTTTCTTTTTAGGGACGTTATTTATTTTTTTAGCTCTCACTTGACCTATTGATAAACATTAAAAAATATTGAGTTTTTCTGATAAATTTACTTAATAGTAAATATTTTTATTAAAATATTAATCTTAACAATAATATTTTTTTAATTTTCTATTTAATGATGTAAATTTCAAATAAGCAAGTTTTGCTAAAAGTTATGGTAACAGATTAAACTTTTTTTGTTAAAATCTTTCTCAAAAACAATTTTAAAGGACCAAAAAAATAGGTTATTTTTTTTAAAAAATTAGTTATAATATCAAAACTTAGAAGAGATTAAAAAAGTCTAATTTTAGATTTGAAAATAGTGCGAAAAATTGATTTAGAAAAGTAAATTTTTGATTCCGATGAAACTTCCTTGTAGACAAATGTATTTATATTCATAAGTAAAAGAAAATTTTTTTTATAAAGTATTGTATCATTCCTTTTGAAATTTATTTACAAGTTAAAAGTAATAGGCACAAAAAAAATAACACATCATGATAAAATTAATACCATCTCATCTTCGCATCGAAGCTAAAAATTAGATTAAAAATTATATTTTGTACTGATTATTTTTAATATATTAAAAATCAAAATCAGTAATAATTAAAAAAAAAATTTTGTTTTGTTTTTAATTATTATGATATTAAATTATTAAATATTAATTTCAAATTACATTTAATTGCTATAATAAATATTTATTCATAAATTATACCTTTAAATCTAAAACTACTAATCAGAAAATAATTAAGGAAATAGGAGTTTATGTTGCTTTTGTAATTATCCACCAATTGCTTAGAATTAAACACTATCTACAGATTTTCATCGAATCGTTTCTTAGGACAGTGATTAAAATTAGTGTCTGTTATGTATACTCGTCCCAACTATCCTACGTTTATACTGTCCCCAATACCACTGTGCTATCGTTTTTTTTTTTAATTAACATACTTCATAGAAATTTAACACTTAAATACTATTTGCATTAATGGGTATTTCCTCACAAATCAGTTATTGCGCTAGGAAATGTTACCTTTAATTTTTCTTTATTGTCTGAATTTTCAATATCTAAATTTTCACCAATTTCATATTTTTCATATTCAGCATCATTGGCATTTGATCTAAAATTGTTCTGTATGTTATAATTTTTATAATAATACTATGTTTTAATAATTTAATATAGATGATTTTTACTCTTCTGCTTTGATATTTTTATCTTCATTTTGTTCTTTTATTTGTGTCATTACCAAACTATAGTATAAACCTTCCTTGCGCATAAGTTCATCGTGAGTTCCAGATTCTACTATACATCCACCCTTAAGAAAAAAATTAATGTAACAAGAATATTGATTTTGTGATTCATAACATACCCTCATTGCATGTATTATATTTGCATTCCTAATAGTCGATAATCTATGAGCTACTATGATGGTTGTTCTTCCTTTCATGATTCGATCTAATGCCTCTTGTACAAAACCCTCACTTTGAGAATCCAATGCCGATGTAGCTTCATCTAGTAAAATTATTTTAGGATCTCTCACTATAGCTCTGGCGATAGCAATACGTTGTTTTTGACCCCCAGAAAGTTGACAACCTCTGTCACCAACATATGTATTGTAACCCTACACAGAGAAATAATTATTAGAAACTTAAAATAATATATTTTATTTAATAATTATGTTACATTTGGTAAGTTTTTTATAAATTCATGGGCGCTTGCTTGAATTGCAGCATCGATAAGTTCTTCATCAGTAATATTTTCCCTTCCATATCGAATGTTGTCAGCTATTGATACTCCAAAAAGTATGGGTTCTTGAGAAACAACACCAATTTGATCTCTTAACCAATGAACATTTAAGTCTGACAAGTTAACTGAATCTAATAATATCTGAAATTATCATCATAGTCAGTTATTAAATTTTAATAGCTTTTTCTATAAATAAAATATTTAAATATACTTTTCCTGACTCTGGGTCATAAAATCTTAATAGTAAACCAACGATAGTACTTTTTCCAGCTCCACTTGACCCAACTAAAGCTACGGTTTTGCCAGGTTCAATTGTTAAATTTAAATTTTCAAGTACCTTTAAAAGATCAAAGAATTATTAATCATATTCCTAGAATATATATTTTTAATATTAAAGTATAAATAGAATGTAACTATAAAAAAATGTATGATAAAAAATTGTATAATTGGTATAATTTTTTAATTGTATTTTCGAATAGTTACTTATTAATATTTATATTATATTATAAAATGTTTATAAATCACAAAATATTTAAAAAGTTATTAAATATTTTTTAATAACTTTTATTAGCATATTGCATAAATATTTTGTCAATATTAATATAGAAATTATTATGTAAGATGTTACTATGGCGATTTATTTCATGGGTAGAATCATTTATTTATTTGTTAATATACCAAACCAAATTAATCAATTTTCTAATGCTAAAATGAAAAAATATTGAATATTTTATATGTACTTTTATTTCGGGTCTAGACGGATATCTAAATGATACATTTTTCACTTCGATTTTGCCTGTTACTTTATTTGGTTTTAAACCTTTTTTTGAATAAGAATCAATTTGAGGAATTCTATCAATAACATCGTAAAGGTTGTTTGCTATGCCGACAGCTGTAGCAACAGTATTTAAATATGGTAAAGCATTTCCCACTGAAAATGCTCCTGCCATAACGCTGAAAAAAACCTAGGAAGTACAAAATATATTTCCACAATGTACGAAAATTAATGAGTGTCAAAAAAATACTTACAGTAAAAACTATACCAGGTGTAGCTTCGCCTATTTTGACTAAATTAGCTCCATAGTAAAACGCAATACCATAACCAACATAAGTCATCAAAAATAGTGAGCCCAACCCACATGAAAACTGCCTATACCTATGAATTGCAAGTGTACGCCCTTCTTTTAATGCCGCCTTGTAACTTAAAATTCAATAATAATTTGAGTTTAAGATACATTTGGATACAATTAAATAATTTATAATTATAATAATATTTATAATAATTATTATTACCGAGCAATTTCTTTTTTTTCTAACCCAAACGCTGCTATAGTTCTTATTGCTGTAATTGCTTGTTCTGCAATTCGCCCAGCGGCAGCATATTTCAATTGTTCTCTTGCGACGGAACTGGACGCATGCTAAGAGAAATTATAGATAATCATAGTAGAAAATTTAATATATTGTACATAAAATATTTTTTTTAGATGATAAAATATAATTTTCTTACTATACTAAGATATGAAGTGATGCCAATAATAATTGGCCCAATAATCAACAATACAGCTGTTAATTTGATGCTAACACAACATCCAACAATAAAACCAGAAACAAAAGTTGAGGCGTATTGCGAGAGCAAACTAAACTTACTACTTATACCTTCACGAATACGTTCTAAATCACTGATGATATTTGAAACATAAAAAACCGAATGAACAATACAATTTTTTGAAAATAGTTTTAACTATTAAATGTTCTTACTCGAAAAGTTTTGAAGAAATATCTCCATTTTGATTAGTGTCAAACCAAGTAATGTCTTGTCGGATAACTTGAGAAAAAAACACATTTCGTAATCTGTACACTTGCCTTTCACAGGCCATTTCCCAACACCAAGTCTAAAATTATTTATTTTCTTTTAATAATTTAAAAATTCACACCAAACTTTTAAGATATTAGCTAAAAGTTATATATTGAGCAAAAAGTCCTTAATATACAATACTAACTTAGAAATACTATATTAACTTCACAAAATTTCACCCTAACAATATTTTGAGAATTTAGCTTTATTTAAAAATACTATTACTAGTATTTGATCCGATTACAGTGAAATTTTTCGAAAACACTTAGATTACGACAAGTACATAAGAAATTTTAATTACAATTAATTTTCAACATTATAATACTTATAAGATTAATATTTTAGAATGATAATACAAATATAACTTCTACTTTTTTTCCTCACCTTTATAGTAACTATTTGGACTCGGTTAGCTTTATTCTAAACTTTCACTTGACACATTTTCCTACATCATCTACACACATATCAGCCGTCTTCATATCACATTCAATAACATCCCTTCATCTATTTTTTGGTCTTCCTCTACCTCTTTTTCATTCTACATTCATTTCCATAACAGTTCTTACAATTTCCGATTTCTATCTTCATATGTAATTTTCTTATTGTATAACACACTAGATGCTTGTCTCCACTTCTCTCACCCACACTTAACCCTGTGTCTTACATTCTCGTCAATACCACAGCTAATTTGCACAATTGATCCTAAATATTTATAATTTTCCACCTTTCCTATCACATCTTTACTTATTGTGCAATAATTTCATCCTCACTGTAGAAAATAAGGAAAGGATTTAAACAGAATATTAGTGCATTACTATCTTACTCTAAAATCTTCGTTACTCTACCCACACTTTTTATTTTGGTACAAGTGCCATAGTACATACACTCTATTAGTATTATAGATTATTATATATGTATAATATTATACAGGTATTATATTAATATCTCTTTGGGACTTTTTTTCTCATTAATGCACATTTTAAAATCTGTCTCAGTACTCTTTCTTCATATCTATAGATACCATACATAACTTTTTTTTATTTTCCCTATGCTTTTCTATTAGTTATCTCACAAAAAACTGGCTCCATCGTTGACTTTTCTATCAAAAAACAAATCTGTTTCGTTGTTACTGATGTTTTTTCTCTTATTCTTTTGTTTTATCATTTTTCTTAAATCTTCATACTATGATTCATAAGCTTCATACTTTTATAATTTCCACAATTCTGTATATCTCCTTTGTCTTTACATATCAGCACTACAATACTAATATTTAAACTATTTTTCTCTTACTTAAGTCTATAAACTTCTATTTCACCTTCCTTTGTTCCTAGCCTATTATACCCCATACTTTTCACACACTTGGCTTTTGTACACAAATAAATCCAATTTTCTCTTCATTTTTTCTTTTGCCATACTTTGAAATGTTTTTTTTTACTCCCTATAATATTCTGAATGTCCTTATGTCACCACCAGGTTTCCTGGTTTCTTAGAATTCTACTCATACTCTTATAAACAATCTCTTTTGCAGTATTCTTTACACAAATATTCCATGCATTATTTGTCTCGCTAAACATTCCACACCATTCTTTCTTTTACCGTCTTCAAAAATATTTACTTGTTTTTTCCTTTTCAATTTCCACTGGTTCCTTGATTCTCCATTTATGTTCTTTCTGCTTTTATATATTCTTTTCTCACTACACCACATCTTCATTACTATCAGTCTAAGTGGTGTACTTATACTCTCGCTTGAGATAAATTTACAATCTTATATTTGCTTTATACCTTCTCCTTTTCACGTAAAATAAGATGATACAAATATAAAAATCTTATAAATACGTTGAAGTTGTATTGGTAATATTTTATAACAATATCAGATTTTCATTGAATAACACAGTGCAACCAGTGCTGACACATGATTTTGTAAAGCACAGGGAAAACCATAATTGTAGATGAATGGGTTTAAATTTGAATAGATCACCCAGTAAAAATTATTATATTGTAAACTTATCTTAACCATATATAATAATATGTAATAATTTTATTAGTTTAAAAGATTAATAAAAGATTGGCATGTGTATATACCCCACAAAAATAATATCTAATTATGTCACTGCTAGGTAAGGGGACCCATAAAGCACATGCCACTCTTTCTCTACCCTTGTAACGACACTGACAAGTATCAGTGAGTACAAAATCCAGGCGAGTCTATTTTCATTAAAAGCAATGATGAAATTTTATTTTAGATTTAACTACACAAATAATGAGAATTGAAATCTCGTATTTTTTTAAATTACACAGAAAAATCATATTTATTCAAAATTAACAAAAACGTATTTTCTAAAAAGATTTATTTGTCTGATTGTTGTACTATACCCATAATTGCTACTACTATAATATACTATGCAAGATGGAATAGATCTAACTGACAACTATTATACTTTTTGATACATACAATATTTCACTTTAATTTTCTTTTGAATTATTTACGCATTTTTAGAGTACATTATAATCATATATTTTGTTATTTTATTTTAAATTAAAATTAAAATTATTTTTATCTTTCATTTTTTTTTTCAAAATTTCAAAATAGCCATTTTTATAGTTTTTTTTACAAAAAAATATTAATGGGTCGATAATTAAGTTGTCGGCCTGATCTAGTGGGTAGAAACGTATATTTTGAGTTCAATTCACAAGGTTTTAACGAAATTTTTTTTGTGATTTTCTCATTGGTGGTATCTGGTCTCTGGTCCATTCGGTCATACTACTAGTCCCGTCCATCATTAAACTAGCTAAGAACTATCTTTTATACCCTAAAACGTGAAACAAAAGCCACCAATCCTGTAGCAAATTAAATTCGGGAAATAGAAGAGTGTAAAACTGATAATTATTTAATTTTTTATTATTGGATCTATAGTAATTTTAGATCAATATTTATTGAGTTACAAACTTTTCAATACATAGAGTGGAAACGTCACGCGGGTGGAGTATGCATTTTAAATATACACAAGTACGAGCTATAACTGTAGAGCCACATATCTATTATATATACTAAAATAAGTGTAATTCAATAACTATTCTTCTTAAAATTTTTATCGATCCATTAATGAATTTTGTAAGTAAAGTTCTTAAATCCGAATATTTTTTAATTTTGAACTAATTAAAAATTAATAAAAAATTACTTTTTTATAATTTTTTTTTATTAAAAAAATATCATTATAATATAATATAGATGTAATCTAAGAATGCTTATAATATTTTAAAAAATTACAAGAAAAGTTAATTGTAGCATAAATTATATGAGTTGTCAGTTAGATCTGTTCCACTCAGTATAGTTAATATTTCTTCTGTCTATGACTTCAAAAAGATATATAACATGATTTTATTTACTTGAATGTAAGCAGCAATTAAAACAATAATTGCAATATACAAATAATACAGTGAATACTCTGTCATGTAATTATCAAATTCTTCAGGTGACAATTTCGGAATGGAGTATATACTTGAAGATGTTCTATGTAAAATTTGGATTAAAATATTACGTACATATTTATGTATATGATGAAAATATTCTACTACATACTCATGGTTTGTAGATGTAACGTTTAGTAAATTCCATGAAGTTCCGTTTTCCATAAAGTCATACTATATTTATCATATCATAGTGAGTTGTACAATTAAAAATAAGATGGATGTATTTATATTCAAAATAAATTATACAATTGCTAACGCTTTAAATTTTGATGAAAAAAATATTTATAAGTACCTTTGATGTTTGCCTAATGAATGTATTGGTCATTTGGCCAAAAAAATAAGCTAAGACTGGTAAACTGGAACCTGTTGCAACTGACATAATTATACCAACAACCATTAATGTTATATCCCATTTGTCCGCATACCGAAACTAAAAATGAAATAATTATAATTCATTTAACAAAAAAAAAATTGTTCTCATAAAATATAAAAGTATATAATTTAAAGCAACCATTATCAATTTAAATATTATTTTTAACGTATATCAAGTTGATTGATTAAGACATTGTTTTTTAATTTTATTTGTCTCTGAACAAATGTAATTGTAATACAATCGAATTTATATTTAAGAAATATTTTTTTTTCCATATTTGCAAGGCCTAAACCTAGGATATGCTGACACCCTTTAAGTTCCTACCCAGATTTAAGGCCTCTGTTATCTTTAACAATGAAATCCTATATTAGAATAAGGTCCTTAATCAATTAATAACACAAATACTATAAATTATGTTACTCAATAAATCATTATACAGCAGAATGGGTTACAAAGCCTATTTGTCTATTTGAAAGAAAATCTCAAGAAAAAATAGTTTTAATATATTTAATTTGATTGAAATATATTAAACTGTTTAACTAATCGAAAAATAGTGAATTTTGCTTATTAAAATCTTTTAAAATTAAATCTAAACATATTAGGTTATCATTAACACGTACCTAGTATTATTACATGTACCAATCTCTACATTAATAAAAAAAAAAAATGGATTCAACGAGTGCATTTTTTTAATAATATATGTTTTCGAATTTTACATTTGTCTAATAGTTTTATAGTTACAATTTAAGCCCTTTCAAGTAATTATATAAATTCCTAATTTTCATTCAGTAATCATGAGTTTATGAATTTAAAAATATACTAACAATGCGTAAGAAGCTTAGATAAGAATTTGAAGTATCATGTAATTTGCTTTTCATAGAAAACCTATATAGTACAAAAAAAAAAACAATAATTAATTCAACTCTACATGGACTAAGTAGATCTAATTTGGCTATAACGTTGTACTTGTTTATATATAGAGTAGAAGATGATATCCCAGGTAACATCGGTGAACTCTTGATAATTGATGGTAATTCTATTTCATCTTCAATTCCTTGATTCTGAAATTTTATTTTAAATAAAAACTCATATATGCCACAGATCTTATTAGTTTTTTTAATTTTTATCTCTAAATAGAGATTAAAAAAAGTGTAATTATATCAGATTTTTGGGTTAATTTATTTTTCTATTTCCAAATTTTTATTATTTTTATATTTTGATTTTTTCAGCAGACTATTAATGTATTTTCGACAGGGCTCAATCATACCAAATCATTATATGTTACAATATTAAATTTAAATTATTTATATACAATTAATTTTAATACCTTATCAAAATTGATAATTAAAAATGTATCTTAGAAAGAACATGAAAATTTGTGGACCAGAGCACGAAACTGTTGGCCTAGATATGTGAGACTTTTTTTTATGGTCTAAAATTTCATTTTATGTTATTATTATAATAATAAAAAGAGATAGATTTTAATTGAAGGATTATCATTTGTTATTTTAATATTTTAGAGATTAGTCATAGTTACTGGTCTGTAATTTGTTCAATAAAATATAATATAATATAATCAAATCATAAATAATTTTTATCACACTTTCATATAAATATAAGATAAATTAGTAAATGGTGGCATTGTTGTTTGTTCTTTATTTCATTATTTAGGAAATTATATTAATAGGAAGGAAACTAACTTTGCAGCTTTATTATTATTGTTTTTAGAGATATCTATTTATATTTAAAATATAAATGAATCAATTAATAGATATTATTCAAAATACTTTAAAAATAAGATATTTTATAAACACCGTCAATTTTATATGTATCGATAAAGATTTATTTTTTGTACCAATTTACGCATAATTAATTACATAAAATAATCTAATGTAACTTAAATAAAAAGATAATATTAAACGTAGATATTCAAAATACATTTTCTCCATTTTTAATAGGATTAACGAATCACTAATAGTCTAATGTGATTATTGCTCATTTGATATTTCTTAGATGATCATTAAATAAGAAGTACTAAGAAGTTATATATTTTTGTTTGAAAGAATGGTGACAGTAAATTTTTATTGAAATAATTTAATTATTAACATTTCCATATTTTAATCATCATAATGAAATTCAAATTCAATTTTTAATGATTGTAGGATATTCATAAAATTACAATACAAATAAAGCAATTAATTTTTTTTATATGAAAGACAAATATTTTTTTTTTAATTGCATCCATCATTTCGTAGTGCACTTATAATTAAATTAATCTGAATATAATTACAAATTATAAGGACTCTTTCAAACCTAATTCTTTTTGTAGATTAAAAACCTTTAATATTTTGACAAAGGTCTACTGGCAAGGCACATTTTAGAAAAAATAAATTAATATATCAGTAAAAACAACAAAGGCAGTTAAACTATAATTAAATCCTATATTTAATTAAATATTTTGATTAAATTTACGTGTTAAAGCTAACATAAAAAAATTTATTAAGTAAAAACAAATATAAAGCTAAAAAAAAACTTAAAATATATTTCTTTAATTAAAAACCAGTGTATGATTATAATTAAATAATTACAATGTTAAGGATTTTACCGGTGAGCAGTTAGCTGTGTCATTTTTCAAATTTTGATTTACTGAGTACGTGGCAGATGGCATTTTCAACTGTTATTACAATTATATTAAAAATCTAGAACCGTGAATATATATTTCAAATTAGTTGTTTTTATTGACAAATTAAACCACAGTGAAATACCTAACACGTAAAGGTTATCATTTCAGTGTCGGCGATCTTAGCCAATGTAAAAGCGCTTAAACATGAAGACTAAACTAAATACATTTTAAATTGACAACATCATACTTGTGTAGTAATTTGTTTGGAATAATCTTTGATCGTGAACGTATAAAAACTTTGAGAGAGAGGGAATTTCTAAGCATGACGTGAAATATAATTTATTAAAAAAAAAAAACTGAACAATTATGAAATTTACGTGAACTGTTGATAAAAAGTCAAGCCGCGGATTCAAAGTATTAAAATTTATACGAGATAAATTCTATTCTAGTTTGAGAAAAATAACAAAGTTGTAAAATCAAAAATAGGAGAGAATTTTTTCAAATGAATACATTTCTTTATAAAAATTTGCTTAATTTTCATGGAAAAATTTTCTAAAGTAAAATAGTAGAAAACGTTTTTAAGTTAAATATTATGACGTAATTTTTTTATATTACTTAACTCATTAAAAAAGTACTTTAAAAATAACCATGACTAATTGATAACATGTTCAATAAAAAAAAATATTTAAAATTAAAACTTTAATTAAAGGTTTATACAATTTACAATAATTATAGAATATAATAATTAATTACAACTGGACAAATCTATGAGAATTATTATTACAATTTCGTTAAGCAAATCAAAGTCAATTGAAAACAATTGAAAATGTATTAGAATTATTTATTAATAGTATTGAATTTATGTTATTAAAAGGAATTTTTGAAGGCGTTTACTATATTGAAACCATTTTTTTTTTTTTTGTTATCTAATCACCTACGTTTTTAATTTACTTTCCTTTTAACATACCGGGTGTTAACATATCTATGTAACAGCTCCTTAACTTTTGTTATAATTTAGGTTAATAAAATCTTAAAAAGATAAATTAGAGACAATAAGCTTTTTTTCATATACTTTTTATGAAAACCTAATAAAAAACCTGAGTATTGGTAAAATTTAAAAAAGACCTATCACGTTTAAAAACATATTTTTTTCAATTAACATATATGAAAATGTTTCAGAACGACTGAGTTTAATTTGATGTTAAATTAACTGTTCGTAGGCTAATCGGTGTTAGTGACGTTTTACCAAAAATGTTCAGACCCCAATAATTTGAAATATAACTTTCATGTTCAACAAATTTTTATTAAAGCAAATTTTTTTTCGATCCATCAATATTTGTTACGAGAAAAAGTCTAAAATTGGATAATTTAACATTTAATTAAAAGAATTATATCAATAATCATCATATTCTGAAAAAATAGTCATTCTAACTATAAATTAAATATATATCAAATTGGTCAACAAAAAGTCTACAAAAACAACTAAAATATATGTGTAAAAGGTGGAATGCTACGTACTATATGTTGGATCCTTTGTGAAGTTGGAATATTCAATTTGAGATACTCATTATCTAATATATAACCTTTCTCAAGGATTACTTCAGAAGAATGAAAAAATCAAAAGAGCTCATACAAGTTTTATGTCCTTTTGAGGAAGCAACAAATTTTGTAAGTGGTATGACCACATATTTATTTATTGTTATTGCTCGAGGCTCAAAAATTTTTGTGAGCAAATGACTAAGCAAAATTATACAAAAGATATTAAAAATAGTTTATAAAAGTTATTAAATGGTTTGAAATAACTTCAGTTACATGCGAATGTGTGTTTTTTAAAACAAGACAACTCTAACGCAATTGATCGACGAAGTGAATTGAGAAGCAAAAAAACAGAAATGCTACTTATTTAAATAAAAATACATAATAGCCAGAAAATAATATAATTTTCAAAATAAAGAATAATGAAAAATAAACGATTTAAAACTACAACTTTCTATTTCCCGAATTTCATATGCTATAGAGGATGGTGGCTTTTGTTTCACGTTTTAGGGTATCNCTATTTCCCGAATTTCATATGCTATAGAGGATGGTGGTTTTTGTTTCACGTTTTAGGGTATCAAAGATAGTTCTTAGCTAGTTTAATGATGGACGGGGCTGGTAGTATGGCCGTCTTGCACCAGAGACCAGACACCACCAATGAGAAAATCACAAAAAAAATTTCGTTAAAACCTTGTGAATTGAACTCAAAATATACGTTTCTACCCACTAGTTCAGGTCGACAATTTAATTATCAATCCATTAATATTTTTTTGTAAAAAGAACTATAAAAATGGCTATTTTGAAATTTTGAAAAAAAAAAGTGAAAGATAAAAATAATTTTAATTTTTTATAATTAAAAATTTTAATTGTATTATATTAATTATTTGACAAAAACATTATTTTTTACCCTTCGTAAATATTAGATTGAAATAAATACTAATTATTGGGATAATAATTTTATCTCATAATATGGGCTAATAGTATTGTGTTAGTATATTTTATTATTGTTTGTCATGGATAGCAGTTTATTATTGTAGTGTTTTAAACCTAATACTTTTTCTGTATACAACAATTTTTAATTTAATGTTTGATGTTTTAAAAACATTTTCCAATGTATTTTATATTGAAAATTGTAACAGTATGTTTGGAATTTAAGAGAATATAGTTCAAATAACATTATATTTATCATATTTCGCTGATTTTAAAAAATATAAGAAGAATATTTTCAATTTTTAAGAAAAAAGTAGGATTCTTTTTTGGACTTTAAAAAAAATATTACTCTGATCTTTAGTTATTAATAATTTGTAAAAATATAAAATAATTATTCTATATTATTTTTAGTTTATTTTATTTTGTTTAATTTCTTGGGCATGATAACAAAGTGTCATACTTATTGCATATAATAAAAAAAAAATAGTTTTTTTTATGCATTTCGTTTTTCTGATCGTGTACTAAGAAATAGTTCCCATTTTATCTTGATAGTCGAATTTTGAATACAGTAATTTTTGTAGGAAATTAAAGATGAATTTAACATATTTATAAACTTTATATATAATATTTTAATTCGTTTATAATGTTATATATTTTTTTGTAACAATTTTATTAATAAATAGTTTTGAATATGAATTTAAAATTATTTATTTTAATTTATTTTGTTTAATTATATTTAAAAAAATCTATCAAAGAAATTGATATTTTAACATTTATAGTTATTTGACTTTTTAAATTGTTATAATTTTAATTTTATAGAATGTTTTCTATAAAAGCAAATGTAAATGTAAATTTATTAAATATAAATTATTGTATATCATCAATTGTTTTTATTATTTATAGATTTTCAAAACTATTATTTTATTTTAATTATGTACTTAATGTATCAATTTTATTTGGTAATAATATCTTAAGGTTAAAATTAAAAATATGTCAACCAATAGTTGTTGATGTTCTTATTTAAAGAATAATATTAAAAATATCATATATAAAAATACTTTTTTTTCTAATAAAATTTTTAAAAATATTTCAAATAAAGATCTTATATGCATAGTGTAGGCAGGTATAATCATCCAGGAATTTATTTTATGTTATTATTCTATGCATTATTTAAAAAATAATCTTACTATGCCTTTCCTTAATATAAAACATATAGCGAAAAAGTCCACTAGAATTTCACGCAACATAGAATTGTTTAAAATTTTTGTTTAAAATTTTAATGTTATTACATTTTCAACTTCATATTTACAAGTTGTCAGAATATAATTTATTATTATATACACTTTAATGATGGAGCTAGACTTTTTATTCCTACATACTTATTTTATTTTATTACAATATAAAAATATATTTTTGTTTTATTAAGTATTTTTTAATGCTATAAATAGTATTCAGTTTGGTATCATATTTTAAAAAATGTTTTGGGAGAGAGATAATAATTTTGATTGGAAGTAGTAATAAAAAACTTTTATATTTTACTTCCCCCTAAAATGAGTAGGTATATGAATAGGAATGTTGAATAATTAAAATTATGTTGAAGCTAAATAGAAATAGAATTTAGTAGAATGTTATATGAATAGGCCCCAATTTGAATATCTACCTTGATACATTATTTTCTTGACAATTGCGAAACCACAAAATATGACGTTGGCGAGCTAATACGTACAAACGCGCTTTTGAATATTATCGAATAAAAAGCTTTGTTTAATAGCTTTTTTAAAGAAACCGTTTGATTCAATTTATAAGAATAAATCCATTTACCAGTGAATTAAATGAATTAATAGATAAAAATTAATAGTATATTCTTAACTCTACATTTTTATTAAACAGTCAAATAGTTATAATATTTTTGTGGTGTGCGAACATTCAAGTTGTTTCTCTCAGTATATGCATTGGGTTCGCATATACACACGGGCAGTGTTTTAACGACCGACAGCGTCATCCGAGCAATATTCTGAAACGTTTATTATAAGCGAGGCGTCCAATCGTGCGAGTGCGGGTAAAGTTCAGCTGCGATCTTATGTACGGGAATTGGACGACCGGTAGCGTCGTCCATATGGTAAAATATTAGTATATTACTATATTGGTAATTTATTTTTAGAATTAACTGCGTGTACGCTCGTCGTTATCGGTTGCTGTAATAGTATAATCGCTATATTATTTTCATTTCTATTTTCTATTGCGACCTTTAAAATAATAATACGTGAATTGTGTTTTATTTTAGTATATTTAATTTGACAATTTTTTTTACTTATGACTAGCGGTACTATATTAAAGCCGCACCCCCACCACCAGCATTCACAAGCCACAACTGTCATTTTCATTTAGTAGAAGACCAGACACAAAGCAGAGGAAAAAGTGTAAAGTATATCTTTGAAACAACTTTTCAAACCATCATACGTATTTATTGTGAAGGGCTTATAACATGAGGATGGTTCAGTTGACGCCATAAAAATTTAATTTACATTTTACATACAATCACTCGCGGTCCACACAACAAGAAAATATTCGCTAGGTACGAAAATGATCACAACCAATTCCGAATATGGTTAATTTCTGGCTAAGTCGCCAAATTTGATCGTCGGACCGATGACGACCCTTTAGCTAGTCTTTTATATAGGATTTAACAAAATTATAAATCCAGTGCCGAAAGTTATCAAGAAAAACATTTAATCCATATTCATCAAAAGGTGAATAAAAAAAAAATGTGGG